CGCCGCCCCAACACAACACACACATGCCCCCATTTCTGTCTCCCCGTCTCCAAAACAACCCGACAGTTCAAAGGATGGAAACAAAAGTTTATTATTATTCTTTTTACCATCTTAGTTTTCCAGGCGAACTTCATGGTCAGCCTTTCTTTCATGATCCGGACACAGCATCAGAGCTCCACAATAACCCGCCACGGAGGAAACAAAAAGATGGAAAATAAGTATTTTGTTGAAAATAATTGATCATAAAAAATATCACCGATCTTTCAAAAGTCCTCTTTTTCTTCGTATCTGAGCTGAATGTTTGAGTAAAAGTGCAGCTCCTGGTCCTGTGTGTACCAGAACCTTTCTTCTTCGCTGAATGACTGAACTCCTCCTCTCTCTCCAGTTAAAGCCCTCCTCCTCTTCTTTTCAGCAGACTGACAACATTCAGACGTAGAGCTGGGCTTTTTATTTGCGCAACATGTCAAATTCACGTAAATGGGTTTCCTCAAAATCCAGAGGAAATAATATGAAAACGTGCTTGGAAAGGATTTTGAACCGGAGCAACTGTGAAACAGCTTGTTTTAAAYAATGAAATAATAAATAAAATTTCTAATTCAATTTAAAACAAGTGAATAAAGAGTCTGTACAGTTAAAATGTGTATTTATAAGTTTACGCCTRCATGTAGCCTACAGTTACAAAGTGAAATGTTTGTTTTACTTGAATCAAATCTCATGTGTTTAAAAGTTTCAAACATATTACTGAGTAAAATAATCCAGAGGGTCAGCAGGTCTAACAGCAGCTTGGATGAAACCAATCATAAACTCCAAGTGAGCAAACTGGTTGTGTTAGAATAAGATTATTGGCCTGATAATGGTCCACGAGCCACCAGTTGATGAGCCCCGTTTTTTCTGATACACAACCTCACTCGCTGTTTTTAGAGGGTTTGTGGTGCAAGAAAAAGCTGCATCTGCTTACATCGAAATCTGCAGAACCCATCTGCTGACATTGGATTAAAAAATAATGCATGTAAACAAAATAAATATTAATCATCTCAATGCAGAGACTATTGATCGTTAATATGGACGAGTTAATTAATTTTATTTTGTTTAAACATAAGAATGAATTTCATACTTCAGTCACTTCTGGTTAGACATGTAATTCTTAGCATTATATATTTTGCAGCTATAAGTCGACCACTACAGTTGTATCTGTCCGAAAAGCTTTGATTGATGATAGATAGATAGATAGATAGATAGATAGATAGATAGATAGATAGATAGATAGATAGATAGATAGATAGATAGATAGATAGATAGATAGAT